ATGGTGTTGCTTTTAGATTGCTTTTTGAAAGCAATCTGTATTCAAAAAAAGGGGAGGGAAGTCTCCCCACACTGTTTCCTTCTTCTAAGCGACAATTCGGAATCTGCCTCCAGAGTCTACCCATCCAGTTATTTCAAATAGCTATATTTTTATTTTGTTTATATTCAAGGTTGGTCTGGTAAGAGCTTACTTGTCCCTACTCTGAGCAAAACCAATCCATATTTGCTTTAGTTTTTCAATTTTGTCACTATAGGGGTACTTTCTCATAATTACTTTAACTTTCTTGGTATCTATATTATGCCTCCATTTTCATTCCTAACATTTTTGCTCTTTTTTTCCTTTAATCAGGCTTACAACTTTTTTTTTCCTTTTTCTATTTTGTACAACTTTTCAAAGAACTGCTTTTGAAATTTATCTTTTTTTTTTTTCTAATTGTTTCCTTATATTACAGATTGTGTTTCTGCAATTCTGGGAGGAAAACTTAAGAAATCATTGTGAGCCGGGCGCAGTGGCTCATGCCTATAATCCTAGCACTTTAGGAGGCCGAGGCGGGTGGATCACGAGGTCAAGAGATCGAGACCATCCTGGTCAACATGGTGAAACCTCGTCTCTACTAAAAATACAAAAAATTAGCTGGGCATGGTGGCACGTGCCTGTAATCCCAGCTACTCAGGAGGCTGAGGCAGGAGAATTGCCTGAACCCAGGAGGCGGAGGTTGCGGTGAGTTGAGATCGCGCCATTGCACTCCAGCCTGGGTAACAAGAGCGAAATTCCGTCGCAAAAAAAAAGAAAAAAAGAAATAATTGTGCATTAACATTTGAGCTGGACCAAGATTTGGAGGGTAAACTTTTTATCTTAATTCACCTGTACCAAAGAGATAGAGGGGTGCTTAGGAGTACAGACAGGCAGCAGGGAAGGAAGAACCCTCCTACCCACTTCCAATGTCTTATTACCATGGACCACTTTATTTGCATCCATAACATCCATTGGTTTGAAGTTTGTACACATCTTGCTCTAACAGGCCTGCTTAACCACCTTGGTTGAAGCACTGATGACAATAAACTGGAATAATCCAGCCTAGCTTTGACATCAAAGAGGAATAAGGACACAATCAATGAGACTAGAGGAATGAAACTGTTTCTCCAAGATAGCAGAACTGGGCTAGAACTAAGGTGTTTCCAAATGGAACCATGCTCAAGGAATGAACATGGAAGTTACACATGGCAAAAGTCTTTGCTTAGAATGGAGCTTTCCTCCAAGTTGATACAATATTGTTGCTTGTGGCCACTTATAAAACCTCGGTATTGTCAAGTGGTAGCAATGAAACGTCAAAAGGGAAGCTTAGCTGCAAGCATTGGTACTGGCCAGCTCTTGATTCCCACTCAACAAACCTGGAAAGGTCTGTACAGCAAGAGGAACAAGAGATTCCTGATGACGTCATTCATTTGCCAACTGCTCCTCATTAACAGACATTTGGGCCCCCTTCTCGTCTTGTTGTAAGGAAGATATGCTCCCTCAGCTCCAGCCAAACTGACTTTCTGATTGTCTCCGGGACACTGTTGGGGACACACTGTGAGCAAAGCACAGTAGGGATTCAAAACATGCTGCAGGCTATGAGCGAAGTGCTTTGCCTTGAGAGCACAAGAAAGTCTAGTCCTTCAAGCAAATGAAGCTAAGTGTACAAACTTTAGCTATTTGTGTATGTGCTTTGCCTCCAAGACTTGAAGCTCCTTAGAGTAAGGGTCATGCTTTTTTCTATTCCCTGCTGCCTATAGAGCTCAGCATAAAGCGTATTTGATAAATATTTCTTGATTGATTTCCATCTTCCATATTTTCCATCTTTTCATTATTCCATATTTCTTTTTACCTTTACTTCCATCTTCCATCTCAGCTCCACCATCTATGTTATTCCTTTGAGTTGCAAACTTCAGAGAGAAAACAAGGTTTGAGATGGTGGCTAGACTGAGGCTGGGTTGCCCAGGATCAAACACTAACTGTGACCACTGTGACACTTGGAAACACTTTGTGGTGGGCAGAATAGTGACCTCCCAAAGTTTCTCACATTCTAATTTCTGGAACCTGTGAATAGGTTGTCTTACATGGGAAAGGAGACTTTGCAGATGTAAATTAAGGATCTTGAAATGGGAAAATCATCCTGGATTGTCCAGGTAGGCTCAATGGAATCACAAGGGTCCTTTAAATGTGGAAGAGAGAAGAGAATTAGTGTCAGAGTGACGCAGTATGAGAAAAACCCTACCAGCCACTGCTAGCTTTAAATATGGAAAGCTTTCATGAGCCAAGAAATATAGGCAAACTCTAGAAGTTGAGAATGGAAGGAAGCAGGTTCTTCCCTGGAGCCTCTAGAATAAATGCAGCCTGCCAGTATCTTGATTTAAGCCCATTAAGGCCCATTTCAGACTTCTGATGTCCAGAACTGTGAGAGAATACATTCGTGTTGTTTTAAGCTGTGAAATCTGTAGTTATTTGTTACAGCAGCAATAGGAAATTAATACACCCATCTAGATGTTCATTTTGTTCCTGAAACTTTTCTGAGTTTTCTGAACTGTAAACTCTTGTTAAGAGGAATGCTTCATAAGCCAAAGGACCCTCTGAATATACCATTTCCTTTTCAGAACTACATTATTTTCCTTCTTGGTCTGTACATTGGTGCTTAATAACCTGTGGTTGTAAAATCACCTATAGGTGGCATATCTGACACAGGATGTAGCAGCATGAAAGCGTCAAAGTCAAAAGGTTGAGGTTTCCTGAACAAGCTATTTTTATCTTATTTTATAATTCTTTATATTTATAATTCAGCAATTTGTGCAAGGGTAACGGTCCAACAATTTATTAAGTACATGGACACCACCAGTAAAGAGAATGGGTGCTGTCTGATGTGCCCTACCAGTGCACACCAAATGAAAGTTTCTTAATTGTGGATGTCCTCACAATTACATTTCTCCTTGCATACAGACAGGGATATGGTCTGATGAATTAATCCTTGCTGATCAGGATAACCTGACCGGTCAACTAGGTTGAAACAATTCAATTTAATTATACAATGGTGAGAATGCTAATAAAAAATTTAAATTTTTTTAAATTTGTACTGTAGTAACTCTGTTTCTTTGGACTCTTTGTGTCATTGAATGAATGTATTTGCTAAATGGCTTCTTGGTGAAACTTTGGCCTGTAGTTGTGAAATGCTCATTGGTAGGCAGGCAGATAGATGACTGATTGACAGATAGATAGATAGATAGATAGATAGATAGATAGATACATAGATAGATACATAGATAGATACATAGATAGATAGATACATAGATAGACAGACAGATAGATAAAGGTGGGTCTACCTAGCAGGCTAGCTGAATTATCTGGTTTCCCATCATTACTGCAGCTAGTAGCAACCCGTAGCTTTTGCAGTATCTTCCTCTTCTCACTCTTCAATTAGAATCCATCATATGTATAGCATGGCCTCATAAAAATCCCTGCCAGAACTTCTACTCAAACATAGTCAAAATAACTGGGGAAGTGAATTCCAGAAGTCTGGACCTGATGTCAAGAATCTTTAAAGTACGAAAGAGAGAACTAAGCATTGTTGGCAGAAATGCACACGTAATTGAAACCACCATCATGGGAAATTACCTAGAGAAATAATAATCACCAAGGGAATTAGGTCTCATCTGTCACATTAAGGTTTCATAAATCAACTCAGGCAATAGACGTAGGAATATGATGAGTCATTTAGAAAGTTAAGAACAAAGGGAACATTCCCTGATTGGTGCCAATTCAGGGAATACCAAGTGCTACAAACACAGTGGTTGGGAACCCAGTCTCCATGGATGAGAAAAAAGCCTGTCAGTTCTTGGGAGAAATCTCTGCACTGGGCCAAATGCTGAGCTTGGCGAAAATTGCTGTTGGACTTCAATGTAGCCCCTGCCCCTACCAGGAACTCACTGGGGGACCTAGTGCCCTTATATTGTGTCTTGGATATCCAAGTCAGGGAGGTGACTTGTGTGAACCTAAACTTCTCTGACTATGCTACTTTTCCTCAACTGTTTTATCTTTTCTCCTCTAAGTCATTGCAAATAATTAGTAGATACATAACTACATTTACCACCACCAAAGTCTATTATTACCTCCTCCCATTCAATTTATTACCCCAACAAAACCAGGCAATTTCCCTAGTAACAGCTCTGATCAAAAGTCACTCTCTTTTTCTAATATCTTTGAAGGATCCTCTCTGTATTTGTAATAAATTCTGAACTCCTTAACCTGGCATCAAGCGCCTCTAAAGAGCTGTTTCTCATCTTATCAACCATAGATTGCCATCATTTTGCTCCAAGTAAAGGGGATATTTCTGTTTCCCTGCATGCTTCCTGTGCTTCTCCATACCCCAGGGAACCCTTTTGACTCAATTGTCCTTTCCTGTATCTCCATTTTAGAGTCTCCCAGTCTACTCTGACACTACCATTCTACCTTCTTCCTCTACATCACTCAGAAGTTATAGTTTCTACATTTGAACTCCAATGTCAGCCACATCTCTATGGCATCACTTTCTACTATGGTCCTGGTGCACACAGTTCACTCACCTTGATAGACTGTCAGAACAGAAGTCTACCTGTGAGATATTCCTGCATCTCCCACCTAGCAGAGTGCCTTGCTATTAGGTGCTTAAAAAAGAGTTGCTGGATAAAACACCCAAGGTGTTTATTGACTATGTGATCCTACTCTAAAATTACAAACATGCATTTTAATAGGTATATTCATTCCAGATAAAATAATTTAACCCAAAGTCATAATGTGGGACTTTTCAGAAGATGCATTCATGAGGTATTTTGGGGAAGGTGAGAATGTTCCTCCATCAATCATACATTATGGCCCCTGAGTCTTCACTTACAAGCAATAGCCATCCTTGCAAAAAGCCTCCTCATGATCCCTCAACACACTTCTCATTGTCATAGAAGAAGCTGGCTCCTGGAAAGGTAGCTGGTTTCAAGACACTGTTGGTTTCTTGGCCACCAGCCATTCCTCTCTTCCTTTGCTTTTTGTTCAGGTCTTCACTCCTCCTTTACATGAGTCCGAGAGCAAATCTTGATTAATCATAAGCAGCTGTTTCATTTCTCATGTCAGTGATGGGTTTAGAAAGAAGCTTGTTCAGGAGGTTGTAAGAAGGTGTCCTTGCTTATTAAAAGAGATACACAGAAAAGGCAGTCTCTCTTCTGTTGGGAATCCTAAAGATGTCCTATAGATCATGTAAAGTCTAGATTGTCTGTTCTATAAATGTCAACTACTATAAAATTGTCAAATCTTGTAACTTTAGACTTTACAAATTTGATATTTTCTGTAAGACTGTGGCTGAACTGAATTTCATCTCTTTTTTATTTTTCAACTTTTAGACTCAGGGTATATGTGCAGGTTTGTTACAAGGGTATATTGTGTGATGCTGAGGTTTGGAGTACGATTGAACCTGTCACCCAGGTAATGAGCTTGCTGAAAGTAAATTTCCCAATAGGAAGTTTTTCAAACCTTGTCCCCTCCTGCTCCCTTTTGTAGACTCCAGTGTCTGTTTTTCCCATCTTTGTGTCCATGTGTATTCAATGTTTAGCTCCCACTTATAAGTGAGAATAAGCAGTATTTGGTTTTCTGTTTCTATGTCATAAATTTCATCTTTGATTAAAAGAATCTTGTAAAACCAATTCACAGTGTAAATAACATTTTAGGAAGTATTGTTAAAAAGAGAGTCACTAAGTAGGATGATGAATAAATGGATAGATGAATGACATTATATTTTGTTCATTCATTAATTTAACTATGGATTGATGAGCCCTCTTCAGCTATGATTACAAATTCCTATCTGTCATGCTGGAGGAAGAATCACTAAGAGTAAATTATGTCAAAATAACCTTGTTGATTTTAAAATGCCTTCTTCCAGAATGATGGATGAGAATAATGCTAAACACAATGAATCTTAATTTTACCAAGGCTTTTGATATATCGTTTAGTGTGACATTTCTTTCAATAATACTTTTTTTACAAAACAATCTATAATTCAGTCTTCATTGGTTAACAACAAAAACAATCTCAAACCATGACTGAGATTGGATTTCTTCTTAGTAAGTCAAAATTCATGAGATGTAAACTTACTTTATTGGGTAAGTCAGTATAAATAACTAGACAATGTGACAATGATTGATTCTTATTTCTTAAAGGACTAGAAGGGGAAAAAGGAAGTAAAATGTAACTGATCAGTTTCTTTTTTTATTATTATTATTTTTTATTTTATTTAGAGACACGGTTTCACCTTATTGGTCAGGACGGTCTCAAACTCCAAACCTCAGGTGATCTGCCTGCCTCAGCCTCCCAAAGTGCTGGGATTACAGGCATGAGCCACTGCTTAAGCCCAGGAGTTTAAGACCTGCCTGAGCAATATAGCGAGATCCCATTCTCCACAAAAAGGAAAAAAACAAAAAGACAAAAATAATAATAATAAGCATAACTCCCCTCAAAGCAACTGATCAGTTTCATATGAATAATCAGATTTGGTCCATATGTCACAGTAGTTCCCATTCTCTTCCCAGAAGTGCTCTTCATATTAATTTGGGACATTAAAAAGCAGCTGAGCTTTGGAAAGTCTGTACATCATGAGCGTCAGCAAATGCACAATACAGTAATCATCACATGAGCGCAGGCTATCACAGAGTAGCGCTCCTGAAAAAGTCAAACAGAGAGAGGGAGAGAGTCATGGTGGTGGGTTCACCCCTTGGACATCCTTCCTGATGGGCAACCAGCTAGTCTTAAAAATCTGGGCTCCACCAACTGGCATCAGTGCTCCTTCCATGACGCAAGCAAACAGACACCACTTTTGTTCCACTGTACCCCCACGCCCTGAAACTCACAAATGCCTTCTTGATGCTCCTGGAACTGTACAGCCCCCACAGCTGATTTCCTTTGTGGCAAGCTGCCTCCTGGTAAACATCACTGGGTGAGCAAGAGGGTGTGTGGGTCCAGAGCACTGATACAGGGCTGTGATTCTGATTATGCCTTTGGTCATTGGTCATCATTGTCTTCAAAGTGCATATTATGAACACCAATTGTATTGGGGGCTGTTGGGCATGGAGGGGAAGGCTTGTTATTTTCTATGCAGGGAACAGTTATTAGAGTTTACCATCTTCAGACTTCTATTGCTGTATCTTAGGAATGGAGGAAAGAAAGGATGTGGACTGGAATCTTCTGTGCTTGGAAAATAATAAGTAACTTGATTCTGGCTCAGCTGCATCATCACCCCTTCTCTCTTGGCTCTTGTTTACAGAACTTAAATTGGAAGATAGGCATATTCCTTTTCTGAGGGCGATTTTCTCGGATGCAGATTCTGAAATGAAAGAGGGAAGTAGAGGAAGATGGATGATGGGCAGGGAAGGGGAAAAGCCAAGCAGGGGACTGTGATTTATGAGTAATTTCACAAAGGGGATGTAGGCCTGATCCTGCAGAAGGACTCCAGAGTCTGAATCGTGTCTCCTAGTTTTTCCCAAAGGAGGCAATGGATCCGGACTTTCCCTCTCCTTTCCTAGTCATTGGCTAAGGGCTGTGCAGGGAGGATGCAACCCCTTAGGCACTTCTGGCTTTCAGGCTTGTAAACAAAGGGGCAGTCCTCTGAGAGAGTCACAAAGGTGAACCTAGAAACAAAATCACACAGAAGCTAGGGGAAAGGCAAAACCAACATGGCAAAACAGATCTGAGGGGATCTGAGAAGAGCAGAGAAGTGGCCACCACACTACTGGTCAGAGATGCCCCTCCTTTAGCCAGAGGTTGTTCTATACTGCTGTCAATGCGTGTCTCAGGAAACGTTCAGATTATGGTTTTGTTAGAATCACTGCTAAAACCTGAATATAATAGGATTAATACATATGTAGTGCAAATTATAGTCTATGCTTAGAAACCGATGGCCAAAATATTTTAAGGAAACTTGAAAACCATTAGAATTATTGGCATTTGATTTTGTCACTTTCTCTGCATCTCTGACCCACCAAAGTATTCTTCTTCACTCGTTTTAGCTTGGTCAATCCTTTATATGCATAAATACATCCTCCTCCAGAGAGATCTCCCTAATACAGTGAGATGATAGCATTATTACCTGAAATTCTACCATTTAATGGACACTCATGTTGTTCATTTTTATATAAAGGTTAATTTTCCAAACAGACTGCACGATCCTTGAAGACAGGGATTTGCCTCATCCTTCTTCTTACCCCTCCTCCTCTGGTATCCAGCAGGGTGCCCTACAGTCCACCATAGCATGTGAATGAACACTTGATTGATAGTAGTCAAAGTGAGTGTCCAACTAGAACTTTGTGATCATCTTCTTTTTCTTATACTGCTTACGAAAACTGTTGATAAGATACTAATCAAAAACATAGAGACTAATCAAAAAAAAGAGACCATTTTCAAAATATGTTACCCCTTCTGTTGAATTTCAGCAACCTTGATGTTACTCAAATTTAGACAAGAAGGACCAACCCATTTGAAGATAGCTATAGATATGGATATAGATATATACACGTATACATATGCACCAGGCAGGCAAGAGGAGGTGCACTAAAAGGAATACTGGACTGGAATTTGAGAGATGCCAATCTCAAATCAGCACTGTTCCCATCTCCTCATGAGGCCTTCCTTAGCCATTTCATGCCTTTGTGCTTCAACTGAAGGATATGTACTATATGATCTCTAAAGTCTCTTCAACCCCAAAAATTCTACTAGTTGTGTTTTCTGTATTTATGAAGGAGTGGAATCCAAGAAGACAAATATAACCCTGGCTTCAACTCTTACTTCCTCACTGTGCTCAATCAATATGCATTCACAATGATGTTCTGCCACACGTCCAATCTTGAAGTTGACTTATGGTCCACCCACAGGGAGAAAATATGTGAAAGGATTATTAACGGAGAAGAGAAGGAGCTAACAACAGAAGACATTGTGGAAAGTTATCTATTCCTTCATCAAGCATGTGTTTAGGACCTAATACATGAAAACCTGGGTTAGGTCCAGGAGATCTAAAAGAGGCACTGTCCTTGCTTTCATGAAACGCCTAGATTGATACTTAGAGCATTTCAGTCAATGAGGGAAAACAGTGGAGATGATTTTGCTTTTTATTGAGGTAAACCATACCACAAATATTTCATTATTATTAGCTCTTCTACCATTCATATTTTATGCATCTGACTTTCCTGCTTTCTTTCTTTTCTTTGAGACGGAGTCTCACTTTTTCACCCACGCTGGCGTGCAATGGCACAATCTCAGCCCACTGCAACCTCCACTTCCCGGGTTCAAGCAATTCTCCTGCCTCAGCCTCCCAAGTAGCTGGGATTATAGGCCTGTTCCAGCACACCTAGCTAATTTTTGTATTTTTAGTAGAGATGGGATTTCATCATGTTGGCCAGGCTGGTTCTGACCTCAAGTGATCTGCCCACCTCGGCCTCTCAAACTGCTGGGATTACAGGCATAAGCCACTGTGCCCGGCCAACTTTCCTTCTTTCTAATATACTAAAGAGTACTGGACTCTGATCCTTCTAGTTTCAGTTCAGCTGCAAATGGTATGATCCTAGGTAACAAGGCCAACCCACAATGCTTAGTTGCCACCTCTCTTCAAAGACTGCTTAACACTTGTTCCTCACGCCTTGGGCAATTTTTATCAGGACATAAAGGTATTCAGGGCAACAAAAAATGTGTATAAGAACTCCATGATATAGATGATTTTATTAACTGTCAACAGTGATACCACTCATCCGTCTGAAGTTGCTTCTTCTCCCTAAAAGGTAATATGAATTTATAAACTTTTTTAATACAATAATTTATTTTGCAAATTGCATTTTACCTTTAGTATACAGGTCTATTTTCTGCATTTTGAAAAACAATTAATCTAGTTGCTCATCGAATTGCTATACAACTTTATATATTATATTATTTCATTTCCTTATTCTGACTCAGAAAGTATGGAGATCTATTTCCCTGGAATGAGGAGGGAAGATATGCTAAGTTTATTTAATAAAGGCTAATGAAAAGTTTTCCAAAATATTTCCCTTCTAGGTCACAAAAATCTGATCTCCTGCAAATAGCTGAATCTGAAAGACCCATCAGATGGCCAGAATCACTGAAAATGTTTACTAAATCAACCCTTACTGGGGAAATCAGGAAAAGAAAGCACTTGAAGAAGCTCAGATTTGACAATTCTGACACTTGAAAAATCAAGTTAGCAAAGAAAGCTGCTGTCAAAAAAATGTGAACAAGGCCATTTATAATACAACCATACCTACTCATTCATCTCTGTGTCCATTCACTCCCTTTCAACATTTATTGAGCATCAAGTATGTGAAAGCACTGCACTTGGTGCTGGTCAGAATGCCAGGCTCTCACTGAATGCTCCCATCATTGGTGGACTGGTCTATTACCAAAATCACAGAGCAGCAGAGCATATTAAAGCAAGATAACACTGAATCGAACAAAGCCACATTTGAAAGGCAACATTTTTTAATATCAGGTTGAACAGCTCTTCCTATTTGCCCATCTGCTAACCTTTAAAAGATTCCTCTCATTGCTGATATTCCTCTCATTGCCCCATGAGCACCCAGCCTGCCTTCAATAGTATACAAAGGGCATCTTTGTTTTCCTCCAAGTGAACTCAGAGGCAAACCCGGGGAACAGTGAAACACCCGGGATGGAAATGAGGTGTCTCCGTGACAGCAGACTCCTTCTTTTGCCCCCATTTATCGAGATCAACGTGACTGAGTCACCAGTAGATGAAACCAATGATTGTCTTACTCGGCCTTCCTCAGAGTCACCCCCTGAGTCAGTGGGTAAGCTGGGGTAAGAACCCAGCCTTGTCCTATGAGGCTGAGCGGGTCTACTATATTTATCCAGGGTCTCATGATTCTTAGTGCTTTTGCTCTGCCCTCTAATTTGCACTGTGCCTGCTGTAATATCTAAACGGGAAGTTGCCAGCTAGAATGGTCATTATCCGAGAAATCTATTTAAACATGTTTATAAGGTCAAATGAAGTGGGTGGTGGATAAGCAAGACAGAAAACAACAAATGCTTTGGCTCAGCACAGCCAGTGAGGCTAAAGCTAAAGAGAGAAGTGTTTTCATGTCGAGTTTGCACATGGCACAAAAAGGCAGTCTAAGCATAATTATATATAAATGCAGCAATGAGCAGTCAAAATATTAAAACAACCAAATGATTTCTGTTTAAGAAGCTGGACAATGAATTTGACTTATGATAAGTCAACGGACCGACAGTTTGAGGCGAATGCCCGCAGAGCAGAGCCCAAGTTCAAATTTTGGAAATGCTCCTAGTGCATCCCAACCAGAGGGAAGAGCTGGGATAATCAAGAAAGATGCCCAGAATCAACCAAAAATGACCTGGGGGGGGGCACTTCACAATGGAATAGTGAATACTATCGAACAAGAGGGAAATAAGGAGATGAGGAAAAAACCTACTATCTCTGGGAGCCCAAGCTGGGATTCTTGTGTATTTAAGACTTTGATGAGCAGCTCTCTGTACCAAAGAAATCCATATCTTAGAGTTTCGAGTCAACCATTTCATTATGTGACAGACCTCCAGGCTCTGCCAAGCCATTCTTCAACATCAAAGAGGAGGGAAGAGGAGAAAAGAAACTACTGTCATATGCCACTTAATGGTAGGGATACATTCCTTCTGAAATGCATCATTTGGCGACTTTGTCTTTGTGTGAACATCATAGCATACTTACACAAACCCAGACAGTATAGCCTACTACACGCCTTGGATATATGACATAACCTATTGCTCCTACACTACAAACGTGTACAGCATGTTACTGTACTCAATATTATAGACAATTATAACACAATGGTAACTTTGTGTTATAATAACAAAATAAGTACAAAAAATTAGAAAGGGTACCCTGGTATAGGGCGCTTACCATGATTGGAGCTTGCAGGCCTGGAAGATGTTCTGGGTGAGTGGTGAGTGAATGTGAAGGCCTAGGACATTACTGTATACAACTGTAGACTTTATAAACACTGTACACTTAGGCTACACAAAATTTATTTAATTCTTTTTTCTTTCTTCAATAATAAATTACCCTTAGCTTACTGAAACTTTTTTACTTTATAAACTTTTTAATTCTTTTTAACTTTTTGACTCTTTCATAACATTTAGCTTAAAGCACTAACAGATTGTACAACTGTACAAAAATATTTTCTCTCATATCTTTATAAGCTTTTTATATATTTTTTTTCATTTTTAAAACTTTTTTGTTAAAAATGAAGACACAAATGCACACATTGGCCTAGGCCTACACAGGGTCAGGATCACCACCTTCCACCTCCACATCTTATCCCACTGGAAGGTCTTCAGGGGCAGTAACACACACAAAGCTGTCGTCTCCTATGATAACAATGCCTTCTTACGGCACACTCCTGAAGGACCTTCCTGAGGCTGTTTTATAGTGTTTTTTTTAAAAAGCAAAAGGAGTACTCTAAAATAGTGATAAAAAGTATGTATAAATCGGTAACATCATTGTTTATTTTCTTTTTTAAATATTATGCACATGTACAATGCATAAGAGTTATGCTAGACTTTGTTTTTCTTTTTTCTTTTTTTGTTTTTGAGACAGAGTTTTGCTCTGTCACACAGGCTGGAGTGCAGTGGCACAAATTGTGGCTCATTGTAGCCTCAAACTTCTGGACTCAAGTGATCCTCCCGCATCAGCCTCCTGAGTAGCTGGGATTACAGGTACATGCCACCATTCCCTGCTGGTTTTCTTATATGGAACCACCATCCTATATGCGGTCTATCATTGACCAAAACATCATTATGCAGTGCATGACTGTGTCTCCTTGTTCCTGTTTCTGAGAAAGAGGGAAATGAGTTGGCAAGGCTTTCAGTGGCAAAGAGAAGTGTAGCATTTGAGAATGCTTCCCACACGTTCTGCATGAGCTTGGATGCTAGTTTACAAAGATCGAGCAATTATATAGATTCTATGCCACCAAAAGAAATCTGGTATGGCTACTGTTGGAAAATTTGATACATGTGTGCATCCAGTCATTAAATCATAGAGAATAGTGTTTCTTATTGTATTATGAATTAAATTAATTTAATGACATCCTTTCCAAACAAAATTTACTTAGAAATGGTATTTCTGCCTGAAACTTGATTTGGCATGGTTTAGGCTAGAAATACATACTGTTTGCCCCTGTATCTCTTCTATTTTAGCACAAAAGTAAGCTCTTTTTTTCCCCCTCTTTCTGGCCCTACCATTTAGTGAGAAAGTCATTGACAAAGAAAAGGAGCAAAGAAAGACCGGGGAGTACTGGGAAAAGAGTTAGGGAAAATGGGGGCAAGTAGAAAGAAGGTAAGAAGGGAGAGGTTACAGAATGACCAGAGAGAGAGTTAAGGTGAAGATGGAAGAAAGTAGCCGTGACATGTTGAAGCAGTGGGTCTTCCCAGAGTGCTGCTGATCAGCACAGCAGCCACCAGCCACGTGGAGCTACTGAACACTTGAAATGTAGCTGGTCTAAATTGCAGTGTGCTGTGAGTGCAAAATACACAGCAGATTTTGAAGATTTTGTACCAAAAAAATTACAAAGTATCTCCTTAACATTTTATATTGATTACATGTTAAAATAATATTTTGGCTATACAGGGTTAAATAAGTACATTTTAAAATTCATTTCACCTATATCTTTTTATGTTCTTAATAGGGCTACTAGAAGAATGAAGATGAGCCATATGGCTCACATCATCTTTCCATCACACAGAATGCTGCTCTTGATCTTGATGAGAAATCATACGATTGCATCCCATTTTTTCTATCATGTCTACCGCACATAACCCCAGAGGTCTCAGCCCAAAAGTCAAGTTCTAATATAATCATAAATGCTTCAGTAGCAATTGGCAATGCCTGGCGTCTCTTTTCTGAGGTAGGCAGCATATATAGCAGCTTCTAGTCCTCGGGATCCAGGGGACATGTAGGGGTGTCAGGAAGGGCAGTGCTCAGACACCACCTTGGGCGTTTCTGACTGAGAGCATTCCCAGCTGTCCCTCCCTTTTTGAAAGGGAGTCTCGCTCTGTTGCCCAGGCTGGAGTGTAGTGGCACGATCTCGTTTCACTGCCACCTCCGCCTCCTGGATTCCAGTGATTCTCCTGCCTCAGCCTCCTGAGTAGCTGGGACAACAGGCGCCCACCACCATGCCCGGCTAATTTTGTATTTTTAGTAGAGACAGGGTTTCACCATGTTGCCCACTGGTTTAGAACTTCCGAGCTCAGGCAAGTTTCTTACATAAATCCAGGGATAAGGAATTTCTTACATAAATCCAGGCATAAGGAAAACCTTCAGATGGTCTATGACTTTAGTAAATGTAAAGTACCTGTCCTTATAAAATCATATCAGTTATTTCAACATCAATTTGGAGCTCAAAATGGGCCACTGCAGTTGGCTACTTCAGGAAATATCTATTGCCAAATTAGCTTTCAGAAAGTTTCTAGGCCAAAGGCTGTGTGTAGCCAATGTGGGAATAACCAAGACCACCATTTTTCCCATCCAGCAGCCGGACTACTCAGCCTGGATGATCAGCTGAGGGCAAGGAAACCCACCTGTGTCCTTTAGGGCCCCTGTAACAACCTCAGGTGGAGTCACTCCTTAATGTGAAGGTCTCCAATAGAGATCAACCTTGTCCCTCCTCCTGGGCAGTTGAGATCATTCTTATTAGAATGTTCACAAACAATTTCAAGGTAATTCTGAAAACGATATTGTACAATTTAGAGAGGCATTAAATTCATCTCCCCAGACACTGAACAAGATTTGATTCCAGGTCTAACTCTAAAATGAAGGAAAAGAATTTTAACCTTACATTTAAGCATCTACAGAGCATCTCAGTAATGAAAATGAATAAATTTTCCACTAAATTTATCACATGTAGAAAATTCAACCACTGGTTCTTTCTATAAACTGTCTTCACAGACCCAACACCACTTTTCATCTGCTAATTGCTATGAGGCAATAAATCTCTTATATGGAAATAATACAAATACAACTGCATGGCATATGTAGGCCATGTGTCCTAGCAAATCCATAAAAAATGTTTCATTTATGTTTGATGAAACACAGGATTAACATGTGACTAATAGTAATATGGGAATTAATTAATATGTGACTTAGCTCAGTACTGGAATAGTCAGTAAATATCTAAGAAACATTCATTCATTCAACAGCTATTTAGTGAGCAGCTACAATGCTGGAATTTGAATATTGTGTCTTCCCTGACTAACATGGTATTTGTGTGTAATAACGTGAAATGGCATTTTTTAAAAAGTATCATAGTTAAGGTTTTCTAAAACAAAATCCTTAAGAAAAACTATTCTCCTACTAAAAGGATATTTTAATAACA